CATTAATCTCTTTACTTTTGCAACAAATTTCAAATACTGAACACAGGGGCAAGAGAATATTTCCCTTCCCTCTTTGTTCCCAAAATCAGATGGTAAGTGAGAATGACAGGAAAGTAAGTTTCCATTACAAAGAAGCAGCAAATAGGCTTACAAAGATTTCCAGGTTATAGCCTAAGAAGGTTAATTCCTGCACTTACGGCATAACATAGATCAATCTAGAGAGGAGTGATGTTTAATTGAATTGGGATTATTTGCTTGGATGAAGAAAAAAAATAAAGTTGTTTTAAATAAAAGAGAGCATGCACATAAGCAAACTCCACCATGGAACTCTCATCAGTTTTCTTGTAACAGCCATCTCCTAGGCAACATGTGCAATAAGATGAAAGTAAGAGTACATTTTTGACTTCTGACCTTGTGACAATGAGTAGGTAACACTGGGGAGAAAGAAAACATGCTGAAAGTCTTCTGAATCTCGCAACACTACAACGAATTTAACTGCAAGCTAATTTCTTCTGTATTATAGACCAGAGATGACCTGTCTGGCCAGCCATGCAGAAGTGCCTTAGAAGTGGCACAAAACACAGCAGTCTTCACACAAAGGAGACAGTGGCTACAAAAGTAGCAACTTCTGATCTCAGTTGCCTTAACTGCTTTTCATCCCTCTGGAAATGGTCACAAGCTGGCATATCTGTGCTTGTGCAGTCCAACATGACTTTGAGTTATGGTGAAGGTGTCTTGCAAAATTAAGCTACCTTAGGAACCATCTCTCATATTTGAATACACTGATTTATCTCATGTAAAGATACACTTTTCCAACACTAAGGGGCACTGGCAAGTATAATAGTTTACATTGAACTGTCCCTACCGCAAAGAGAAATTTAAACAAAAATAAATACATGAGTAAACTTCCTATACTAAAGTGTCATGCTCTTTGCATGTTAGTTTAGCTCTAGTTCAGCTTTAAGCATAATAAGAAGAAATATCTTATCTTTGCAGCCATTTTCCTAAGTTCATTTGTCAGTTGGGAAAGGTTAATACTACACATGTAACTTGTAGAGAATTTTAAATGTTTTCAGACCCCTATAAGTTTAAGCACAGATCATCAAAGGCAACATTCAATCCTATTTGTGTTTTGATACAGGGTAGCTATTGGCTACAATTATATAACAAAACTACTTGTCATAGCTTAAAAATAAACCTATGCAGTAAGTTTATATGATAGATCCTGGGGGGCATTACGCTAGATGTATATTTTATACAAGTTAAATAGATTTTTCCTTCTATATCTTTAGCATTGATTTTGTATGCTTTTACAATATGCTAAAATGCCAGGATCTAAACTGTACAACTGTAACAACAGGATTTATTTAGGAATCAAATATCTCTAGTTTCTGTTGTTGTTGTTGCTATTATTATTATCTGTTAACCCTGTACTATGTGTTGGATAAGTGCATAAGTAGGTTTAATATTTTTTAATATTATTAAATATTTAATTAATTTTAATTAATTAATTATTATATTTAATTAATTATTATTTAAAATATTTTAATATTTTAAATCTACCACATACTAGCAGTTAGAACAGTACTCTTCTGTAGGAAAAGACTACTACATTTTAAGAAAAAGCAATCTACTATACCAAGCATTTAATGTCATTATTTGCTGTAGGAAATCAAGTAGAAAATTTACTTAAGAAGTGTAATGCTTTAATTGAAGTGCTGAGAGGTTTTGTTGTGTTTTTTTCTTTTTTTTTGTTCTTTTTTTAAAAAAAAGTACAGCAGTACAACAAAAATTAAGATGTAGTTATTCCTTTTCCTCTGATTTCTACTACACAATGCACCACTAATCAACTATGATAATTAAGGAAGCCACATGAGAGGGTGATCAGTCACTGGAACCAGCAGTCATCATGGCACCAAGGCTGTTAGAGTACAAGTAGCATTTGGACAATGCTCTTAGTCCTCTGTTCCAGCTTTCAGAAGTCCTGCAGGAACTGGACTCAATGATCCTCATGTTTTGGGAAGAGATGGGATGGAGCTGAGCTGCAGGCTGAGGCATGCACCTGCAGATGCACATGGCAGCACAAAGGAGCACATGGCAGCACAGAGCTGACCTGACCTTGGGAGGAGGCGTCAGAAAGACCCTTACAGAGTGGAGCCTGCTGGAAGCTGACAGATGGGTGAACAGCGCGTGATCACTCCTAAGATTCTATTTGAGAGCTCAAAGGGAAAGATTAGGTAATAAAAAAAAAAAAAAAAAGGGAAGGGTAGATTGCATTGATTAGAAATGCAGAACAAGGCGGCTGACAGACGGGTGAACAGTGCGTGATCACCCCTAAGATTTCATCCAAGAGCGCAAAGGGAAAAATTAGGTAATAAAAAAAAAAAAAAAAAAAGAGTAGATTGCATTGATTAGAAATGCAGGAAAAAAACAGTGTTAGATAACCTTTGAAACAATGATACAGAAGGACTCTGAATGGAAGGGTTGAAGGACTTCCACAGGCAGTTCAGAGGCAGTAACTTCTGTGTTGAAAGCAAGCTGATACATCAAGGTGCAACTCAAGGACAACTTAATCAGCCTCAATTATGTTATAGAGGGAGGGGGGAGATAAAATATCAGCTGATCAGACTCAGTAACACTTCCACACAGACAAGAATTAGCCAGTAATTATAGGCTGCAGGTTTTATAGGGTAACACTTGGGATTGTTTCCAAAGTCAGAAACTTGTAAACACCTCAGACCTCATTTAAGGACTTGACACTGACAAGGATTTTGGAAATCTTTCTATCAGAAGATATCCTACCTCCCTTAATCAGAAGCAAGTATGTCAATTACAGAAAGCAAGTTCATGGCACTTTACATCATGATGCATTTAATGCTCAATTTTTCTCATTATTTATAGATAAATTTATATTCGTCCTATAAAATCAGTATGATTTAGGTGAAAACATCTAAAAATAGTCACGTACATTTGCAGACACTACTTTGTTCAGAAAAAAATTTGCCAAACCTGAAGCTTCAGATTCTAAAAATTGCAATCAAATTTATAAATTTGATTCTAAACTATGCAATCAACCAACCACTAAAAAAGTTAGTTATAATAGATATTCAATACCAAAACTTTTATTTGTGCTCTTTGAAAGTACATTTGGGCCATTTCTGTAGCATCTTGAAATATGTATGTTATTCATTTTTTCACCGCCAATGAACACTATGTGACACATTAAAATTTTCATAAGAAAATTATGGGGTTCTTACACAGGATAACATCAATATGAACATTTGGTCATTCAGATGATTTACAGTAGGAAGGTTGGGCAGCGGGAATCTAATTTGTGTATGCCTTGTATCACTCTTTCTCCCAAATTATTCCAAATTTCTTGAAATATTTAGGAATCTTGGGAAAGTCCAAGCAGTCTCCTGACTGCCTATTTGCCTCCCAAGTGTCACTGCTTATCATGAAACAAATAGGCTCACCAAGAATGTTAAACATTTCATAGTATTCAGAGGCTGAAACATACTGAAGTCCTCTGAAATGAAGTGCACATAATGAAAATCACCAAGGTAGTGTCACTTTTACACCTCTGTACTGGAAAATACTTGAAGAGTATTTTCAGTCTAATTCCTTGCAGCTGAAAGATTTCTGAAATACAATATATACTTTATATGTAACTTTTTAAAATAGAAGAAAGCACATACATGTATCATTGTCATTACTGTCCTGTTAAGGTGACTATTGCCTGCGTGAAGAAGATTTCCAGCTTCTGATAAAGAGCAGTAGTAACTAAAAAAAGCTTCCCTGGAAGGTCTAAGAACAAAATTAAAATAACTGGTTCTAGATTATAAGATTACACACACACGTCCATGTGTGTGTATCCCCAGGCTGAGATTTCAGTGATTAAGTTAAAAATGCAACTAAAATCTAAATGCAAATCACTCACTGTTTTTCATAGCATAGCCATTTTTGTTTTAAAAGGTAAACGTAGATCACCTTCACCTCCTATAGCCCTGAAGGAGGCTATAAGTACACGTTTCTTGGAAACACAATATAATTCATCAAACTTCACAGCAGTCTTCAGGTGCAACAATTGTTGCAGTCTTGTTCTGCAACGATTCAGGTTTTGCAGAAAGAAGCCACACATCTCCAGTTCACACCTTTTAGGGATTCACCTATATCCAGAACTGCTTCCTGTGTGATAACTCACATTAACTATTTCAAAAACTAAGTCCCATGCCTAAATATTCCATTATTCCTCACCAGAGAGTTCTGATTCAGCAAATAGTTAAGAGCAGACTTAAAAACTGTCCTGGTTATAGCGACTATTCAAACATCAAGATCTAACCGAGCTGCAGCACGGGAATCATCAAGCTACAGAGTAATCCTGCAACGCAGAAATTCCACTGATACCAAAACTAAGAGAAAACTGTCAGAGTGGTTTACAGGCTCATCAGTTGGAGAAGGCAGCTCTACAGGCTGCCGAGCGCCGTCCTGCCCTCCGAGACCCGCTGCTCCCGGCCTCGGGGGATTCTCAGCCCCACGCCGCATTCCCGTCCTGCTCCCTACCCGCTTTCCCTGGCTTTCAGCCCAACCTGCCCACGGCCACCCCAGCCTCGCCCAGCCTCCGCCAGCCAGAGCAAGCTCTCGTCAGCCCCGGCTCCGTTACTCTAAGGCGAAATCTGCCCCCGCAAGGCAGCAAGTAGCGGAAGCAGGAGAAGGCATTAACTCCTTTCCTGTTGCTTTAATCTCTCCACTCTCGTTTTAGCAGCGCCGCCCGGGGCGTTCTGGCTGCTCGCCCGGAGCGAGGAGGCCGTGAATGAGCAGCCACAGCCTGGGGGAGAAGGAGGGGAAAGGGAAGGGAAAGAGGCAGCCTGCCGCCAGCTGCAGCCCCTCGCTGTCGGGGCAGGCGGGCGGGCGGCGCGGTGGAGCGCGGTGGAAGCCGGCGGCGCGGGGCGGGGCGGAGCGGGGACCGGCCGTGCAGGGAGCGGGTTCGCGCTACGCACCCAGCATCAGCCCGTCCATGTCAAAGATGACGTGCGTGACCGGGCGCAGCGCGGCCGCCGAGCAGGAGGAAGCGGCCATGGCGGGCGGAGCGGGCGGAGCGCAGCGGAGCCGGGGCGGTGGAGCCCTGCGGGACTGGCAAGGCCGGGAAGCTACCGGGGAGGTCGGGCTGGGACTGCGGTTTATAGCAGCACCCGGGGCGGGCCGGGCCGGGCCTGCGGGACCTTTGTTCTGTCTTGTTTTACTTTTTAAGCAAAGTCCATTGTTCTGCTTTTTAAGCAAAGTCCATTATAATACTTTTTAAGCAAAGTCCATTTCTCTTCTTGGGGCCTCGTCTCTTGCAGAACAGAGCTTCTTGCCCACAGAGGTTGTGGAGTCTCCTTCTCTGAAACATTCAAGAACCATCGGGATGCAATTCTGTGCAGTGCGATCTGGGATGACCCTGCTTAAGCAGGGAGGTTGGCCCAGACCACCCACGGTGGTCCCTTCTAACCAGACCTATTTTGCGACTCCTAAATCCTATTTGGTGCTGCTGGCGGGAAATACAGAACAGCTGCTCTCAAGTTGACCTGTTGAACAGTGTCTCTTCTATGTGCCTGTGTAGAGATTTGTAGGGGTGCTATTACCCCCAGGCTATAGTTGAAACAAAAATATGTAAATCTGTCTAAAATTGCAAGTGAAGAGTAAAGTAATGGAGAGAAAAAAATCTGCGAGGAAGAAGGAAATCTATCTCTTACAGGTTGCTCAGTGCAAGAATGGTTAATTGAAAGATGGTTTGGGTGTTGTATGTTTTTTTCTGAAACATTTAAGGAGTTCTGAAGTTCAAGAAACAAGACTGTTCTTAAATTGAAATAAAATCTTCCTGCATGGACACATAAACCAATTTTTACTGGGCAGTTGGGAGGGAAAGATGGCACCTACTGCATCAGTTTTCCCTTTTGTATTTTTTCATGCAGGTAACTCTCCACTGGGTATCAAGATCATTGAAGCAGCAGTTGCAGAGGCAGACATGAAAAGAGCTGTATCCGGCTCCCAAGGTGACATACTGGCTGGAAGATGTGTACTGCTATGCCATTCTGTGTGAGGGCAGTGGTTAGTTGCAGCTTCACATAGGGGGAGTCCTGTCTCATTTGTAGGTAGGCCTTGCAGCAATTCCTTTTTCCTAACGGTGCCTTCATTTGAATTGGCAATGCTTCATCATTTTATCATTTAGTGGGGGCTTTTAAAGCCTTAACTATAGGTGTCACATAGCTATACTTGAGTTTTAATTTATGCTTGTTAAGCATCTTACCTATCCCCAAAACCTATCCCTTGCAAGTACATTCACTCTACATATATGTGAAATGTAGACACAGAATTCTCCTGACACCTTCTCCTATTTGGGAAATAAGACAAAACATCCTTAGCCTTAACTTGTAACTTTTGAATAATAAAACTTGACTTTCAAACAATGTTTTTTGAGTTTTGGGTTGGTTTTCTCTTTTTTATCTTGTCTCATTCTGTAATGATAATGCTGCTTAGTCCATGTCTGTGTAGGCTAGGAAGAGGATTGTGCACAGTACCTTCAATGTCTTTTAAAAATTCCGTGTGTAGTCATGAAATTGGTTTCTGTGTAGATTTAAGAAAATGGCTTCTGAGCTTTGAGTTTGGTTTTTTTTTTGAGACCTTACAATATATGAGTGTTAAAAATGCCTACAGCTGTTTTGTTTCTGCAATAAACACTGTGCAACAAGTCAATATTCCAGTTTTGTTTCCAGCAAACATTTATAGTTTCTTTTGTAGCACACTTAGGTGGGAGCATAGCTAGAATCAATAGAGGTAAAATCATAAATACAGTAGGTCAAAAAAGGTGTTAACCTCTTAAAGAGAATTAAAAACCAGTAATTTCAATAGTTGTAATGGTATTGTGCTGTCCTAAGAAAGAATGTGAATCTGCTCTAAGAGACAAACATTTAAAAAGGATGGGTAATGATGTTGTATGACAATGATACCTGAGGTAGATTTATGAACTTTCTAATTAGCAGGTATTCTAAAAATCTGGGTTTTAATTGTATATGTGGTGACAGAGTAAAACCTTTATTTGTTACTCAACAGATGCAGATTTTTCTTGTTACCTTGATCTATTATTCTAATTAGAAAAAAAGTATTTGATCACAACTTCCATTGCTTCTAGCTCCTAAAAAGGGGGGGGAAATCACTATTTTTAGCATGTATATTCTCAGTTCATCTGAGAAAACAAGGGTTTTGCAAAATTTTTGAGTATTTACAGTAGAAATAAGTAATAGGTAATCTGTGTGAAAGTAGCCCACAAAATTAAAGTATAATACAGTAGCCAAACATTTTTAGGGTTAAATGGTCTGGGTTATAAATTCTGTGGTACTCATTTCAAGACTGTCACATTGCTGACAGGCTGATGACCTCAATTTGCTTTCCTTTGCTCTGGCTCATCAGTGATAATCAGTGTAATGTTAGCTTACTTGATTCTTCAAAGCTGTGTTCAAACACAGGAAAATCTTCCCAAGATAGAAAACTGTTAAGGTTTATTCTGTGTAATTAAGTCTTTTTACTAACAGAATGAAATGAAAAGTCCAAGCAACATGGTGGAGCATAATTTTCTAAATACATAAGTAAGAAATTGTGCTGATCTAAGTTTTGTTTCAGCTGTCTTAAATATCTGTATCTAATGACTCACTAGTAGTATTTGGTTTTGTTATTATTTTTTTCTTGAAGGGAGTGAAAATTTGATTTTGAGACTTTGATATTAAGAATTGTGGAATTGACTTTTTGTTTGCTACTATTTTTTATTACTTATTTGAAGCTGACTTTGAGTTATGAGGATTTCAGTAACTTTAGAGTTGTGGGAGGCATATTGTAGTTGAGGTGCAGTAACCATAAACACCAATAATTAATTATATTCCTACAAACCTGATGTATGCCTATTGAGAAGAATGAACTTGGATGTAATAACTAAGATGTAATTCTGTAACTAAACTTGAATCCTGGAAAGTCTGAAGAACACAATTTTAACTTCATGTAAATTTTTAAAATTAATGTTGCTGTCTGGGCATACACCAAAGCAGATATATGCTGTTGTAAGATACATATATATATGGATGTCCAGGTTTTTAAACACCTGTAAATTAGCTGCCTGTAGGTAGCCCTACTTAATGCCAAACAAATCTATTTTCTCTGGTTTCGTAATAATATGCTAAAATCTCATAGGTTTATTGTTCTTGAATGTGAGATAGAGTGAAAATACTCAGGTGTTGTGGGGTTATTAAGTACTCAACACAGTGTTTTATGTACTAGGTCCTCTTAACCATTTTTTAACTTCTATATTTGAGTTTTCTTTACTTTGAGGCTGGAAGTTTTGTACCTTACTGAAATTTATGTGACTGTGTTCTTGGAGAGTAAAAGCTTCAGAATATGCTTTAGTGTTTTCATAGGTAATACATTTGATTCAATAATTGCAGTTTCTTTTTCACTATTTCATATTGTGCTCAAAGCATGGATTCACTTACCTATTTTTTTATGCCATATGCCATTCATAGGAGCATCATGCACTATGTGTTTCACAGATAAATGACTGATTTTATTTTTCTTTTTCTGCAGGTACCTTGACAAAGAGAATAAACAGATTATAATTGTTTTGGTTTGAATATTAAAGAAGAATCTAAAGACTTGAATAAATCCACTAATTTAAAAGCTTTCATAATGATTTACATAAAAAGCTGATAAACCCACTATTAGTAACAAATTACTTAGAATTATTTAGAATTAAATGTAAATTCAGTATCAGCTGAGATTCTCAACAGTTGCTATAGCTAAGCCTATAAGCCTTAAGAAAATGAAACCCCTCTCAGTGGTGGATATCACCAAACATGAGCTTTTGACCTTAAGATTATGACTTAGGTGAATTGTATTGTTTCAGTTCATGTTTTTATAGGTACAAAATGGAAGATGACCATATATCTTAAGGCAATTAAATAGTACCATGGAACTGATCTAGTTTATGTTTTATTGATTGCATAAGTTAAAAGGATGTATATGCTCTTTTAATCAATCACACGTGTCTTCTCTCAGCCAAGCAAGCAGGGGTAGGAGAGCCATCTGTTTTCTAGATTTTGATATTGACAACCAGTTACAAGTGAGATAGTTACAAAGGCAAGGAAGATGATGTGTTATGCTGCAGAAGAATGAAGTGAAGATATGTGTTACTCACATGTGTTCATCTCAGTAAATTTAGATGAGGCACTGTTCATTTTTAGATGCCTATTGCTGTATTTATTGGTGGGATTGTACAACAGAACAAAGTCTCTGAATCTGGGAAAGGAAGCCTTAATATCCTGCTTTAGGGCCATTATTGCTTTTGTTAAGGCCACTGAGAACCATTTACTCTCCTTTACGGATTGTGACTTAGCTTGTTGACATACTATTTGGTATTCTAATAAAATATTGGCTGCACACAGGCAAACTTCAGGTAACTAGCAGTGCCATTGTAATGAAAATCCTGAAGTTCCTAATGGCTAGGTCCTGCTTAGCTTTAAACTATCAGAAAGATTAGGGATTATATGATATGAAGTATTGTATCCAGCTTTATTTTTCCTGTGATATGGGTTTGCTGTAAGGTTTTTTTTTTGTTATGGTGCAACTTTATTTATCTAACCTCTCATTGTTACTGGAACCTGAAATATTTGTTATTAATTTGGTTTTATGTCTTGTCCGTGTGTGGATTTAATTGCTTTTTTGTTCATTTTACTACAGTTTGATTGTTACAGATTAATCAAAAAGTTTTGTATTTCTGCTGTCATGTGGAATGCACATTCTGTGAACCTTTCTGAGCAAGTAATCTATCACTTGGTTGCTGGCAGTAAAGGTGAAACTGAATGCAGTCACCCTTCCAGTGGTCCCTTTCAGCCTTGGGTTCATAAGCTCAAACATTTCAAAGGCTGTGGTAATTAGATCTTCAGATGGAGAAGAGAGAGAAGGAATTGTGATTCTCAGGGTCACAAGGTCTCAAATCCACTGATCTGTAATGCATGCCGCTTGCTTCATGTTTGGGTTTCATATGCATGTTCCCTGCTTGGGATGCAACAAGCTGGGGAGTTGAATCTCCAGAGCTCAGACATTCTGCCTACTCTGGGGCTGTGTGCCCTTAAAAGTTTGTATCCATTGAGACGAGTTGAATAGAAATAAATGAACTGGCTGACACTCAGCCCAGAATGGCTGCATGATCAGGAAGAGCATGCTGACAGCCTGGGAAGTGCAGAGAGGCAGCTGGAGGCCAGCTATCATACAGTACTGTGACCTTTCTTTCTTTGCAGTGATTCTCAGCTTCTAGAATTATCT